GCACAGCTAGCACTGCGATAAAGTACCTTAGACCACTGTGCCACTCGGGATTCACTCGGGAGTCATTTGACCCAAGTTAAACAATTTAAAGGCAATGCTACCAAATACTAATTGAGTGTATGTAAACTTCTGACCCACTGGGAATGTGATGATAGAAATAAATCTGAAATAAATAATTCTCTCTACTATTATTCTGACATTTCACATTGTTAAAATAAAGTAGTGATCCTAACTGACCTAAGACAGGGAATTTTTACTAGGATTAAATGTCAGGAATTGTGAAAAACTGAGTTTAAATGTATTTGGCTAAGGTGTATGTGAACTTCCGACTTCAATTGTACTTTCAATCAGTTACAATTTTTCATTTTTCAAGGCCTGAGGCACTTTTTCAGTCACGTTCCTAAAGCCCAAGAAACAAACACTTAGCTTCCTGGTTGCAGCATCATGCTGTAGCGGCAGGGACTGGGAGATTAGTCAGGATCGAGGGAAAGATGAACGGAGCAAAGTACAGAGCAAAGTACAGAGAGAGATCGTTGATGAACACTTGCTCCAGAGCGCTCAGGACCTCAGACTGGGGCGAAGGTTCACCTTCCAACAAGAAAACGACCCTAAGCACACAGCCAAGTCGACGCAGGAGTGGCTTCAGGACAAGTCTCTAAATGTCCTTGAGTGGCCCTGCCAAAGCCTGGACTTGAACCCAATTAAACATCCCTGGAGAGACCTGAAAATAGCTGTGCAGCGACGCTCCCCAGCCAACCTCACAGAGCTTGAGAGGGTCTGCAGAGAAGAATGAGAGAACCTCCCCAAATACAGGTGTGCCAAGCTTGTAGCATCATACCCAATAAGACTCAAGGATGTAATCGCTGCCAAAGGTGCTTCAACAAAGTACTGAGTAAAGTGTCTGAATACTTATGTAAATGTTATATTTCCGTTTTTTATTTTATTTTTATAAATTAGCAAACATTTCTAAAAACCTGTTTTTGTTGTCATTATGGGGTATTGTGTGTTGATTGAGGGGGAAAAAACTATTTCATCCATTTTAGAATAAGGCTGTAACAAAATGTGGAAAAATACAAGGGGTCTGAATACTTTCCAAATGCACTGTATATGATTATATATTTTGATAATCATTATCATTAAAGGCATAGCTGACATTAGCTAACTAGCTAGCTAGCGGGCTAACATTAGCCTACCTCAATACAACTCGAATTTGGCATGACAAGGCCCTAAATTACACAAACATCACCCCCTCATGCTGTTATCAATCAAGAAGATACCAAGGAGACAAAGGTCTAGCCCAAACTCTATTCAACCCTGGTGCCACTCCCTTAACTGTGTTTGAAGAGAGACAAAAGCCACAAGCTAGTTTCAGTCTCTCATCAGATAAGACAGCCATGGATTTAAGTAAGAGCAAGCAATTTGACCCTAGGGCAGATTTCCTCTCTACTCCCCCACACACAGAGTGAAATGCCCCAATTAAATTCCTAGCCCAGTAACAAACAATTCTAACTCAATGTTCGTGATTAACCCAGTTCTATCTCCTAATTCATTAAAGGATACACATCAAAAGCAGGCAAATAATTAGTATGAAAACCTTTTGTCATGATTGTGATGTCACCAGATTGACTTTAGATGGAGTATAACTTTAGCCAGCTAACTAAGATTGAGGGGACCACTGTATTTGTTAACTAGCTAACATTAGCATTTCTAGCTTTTTTTTAAGAGTGTTGCTAGTAACAGTAATGGTAACATTGCGATCCCTCTATGCCATATTATGAGGTCGTCAAATTTACTAAAGTTGTTTCCTACTAATTATTTGCCTACTTTATCAATGTCATCGTATTTCCATGCCACTCTAAGTTAGTGTAATTTAGACAAGTCACATTAGCCTCTGAGGTGCCACCCATGTCTATGATGGTACTAGCTAACTCATGTCTGACTACAAGAGTATACTAACTAGCGGCAACAAACTCAAACCAACCAAGGGCCATAGCAAAACATGTCACAGTTGGCTACATAGTGTAAGGGCGTCACTGGCCTGAATCTAATCCAATCTGGAGCCAGTCAGTCTACATCTGTAATGTATAGAATTATCCTCCAAACAAGATTACATTATTTCTCGAGCTATGTTTATAATTGAGGGATGATGACAATCATTGACCCTGTTTTTCTGTTAGACAAAGTGCACAGTTGGGTGACAGACTGATCCCCTGGTCATGAACGGATGCCGGGACCTACCAGAAGGATAAAAGCTAGGTATCATAACATGTCCAGCAATGTGATTGCAGTGTTTTAGCGACCTCCAAAAATCTTTTAATTTACTGTTCACTTGCTACCGTTGTGACACCTCCTCCATTGTTGCCAGAGTCTCCCTCGACTCCTGTGAAAAGGACAAGCCATCCTGAAGCCTCCTATAGGTACTGCCTTGATGACACAGACGGCTTCATCAACAACGACAGGTAATGTGTGAAATCTGAAAAGTTGTATTAAAAAATACCCGTCTTGATAAACTAATTCCCCAGCCAAGCAGATACAACTAGTAGGGTCATTTTGGTTGTGAAGTGCATTAGCAAAAAGCTTTGTCCTTTCTTTAGGACAAAATACAATTTACCACTTGGCTGTCTATTATATCACCCTTTCACAGGCCTCCGAGTCAACACCACCTCATAAGATTGCCTGCTGCAGTTGTTCGAGAGATGTCCAGTTTTCAGCCAAACATATGGAGCATAGAGAATACCAGTAAGGGGGCCCTCATCAGCATCATGCAGACATGCCCTCTCTGTGAGCATTCCTATGAATGGAACAGTCAGCCACGTTGGCAAATATCCAGCCAGCGGCAGCAGCTTTCACAGGCTCATCATTTGTACAAATACAAATTACTTTGATACATTTCATAACCCAGTTGTGAAACATAATTGATGTAAACTGACATTATTTGTCGCTTATTTTCTACTTCTTAGATGCATATAATGTCCAGGACATAACCTAGCCTGGTGGAACCAGCCTGATCGTTGTGTTCACCATTCTATTTCACTTCACATTTTATGATATCTGAAGTGAAATAGAAAGGTGAACGCAGTGATCAGGTTGGTTCCACCAGGCTAATCATAACCACCATTGATAATGTAATCAGTGCTGTTTGTGTGGGACCGAACAGCATCTGAGGGGCCAGGAGCTGATCTACGCTGCAATGCCCATCAATGTGGCTCTGGCAAAGACCTCACCTCCAGCATCACATCTTGCCTGCTCACCAACGGTTGTCGATGGGGAGAACAGCATTAGGTAGGTTTAGTCTGACTTGTTCAAACTTCAACATAGTATATGTTACAGTACAGCACAAATGTTCAGTAATAGCAACACCCTTTTCATTCCATGTGTCACTGATGAACTCTGCCGATTTCTACAGATGGACTGGAGATGCTTTGTCCAGATGGCAGCTTCAGTCGTTTGATGTGGAAACCATAATTGAGTAGGTTTTATCTGAACTATTCAAACTTCAACATAGTACCTGTTTGTGTGTCAGATATTACCTATTGTAACTGCCATTGGTAATAGAACAGAAACATCTATGGAGCCAGCACATGGAGACTTGCAAGATGATGTGATCAAGTCCAGAATGACAGACAGGCTTGATACTGATGTCTCTGAATGGAGAAAGACCTGGCACTCAGCATTGAAATGTTAGACAACTTTTACTTGTATTGTCTTTTTTTATTATTGAATTGAATGGTATCAGTCAATATGGGGAGGGATAAACCCTGTCTATTTTCCACCAAGATCAGGGGACCCTGTTGTATACGGCAGGATTTCCTAAACTCGGTCCTGGCCTGGGGCCCCCCTGGGTACACGTTTTGGTTTTTGCCCTACCCCTACACAGCTGAATCAAATAACCAACTCATTATCAAGCTCAGCTGTGCAGTGCTATGGCAAAAACCTAAACGTGCACCCAGGGGGGGCCCCAGGACCGAGTTTGGGAGACCCTGGTATACAGGACACCACACAGGAAGGTATGACCACTGACATGTTTGCCAAGGTAGCCCCATTACCACCAGACAAAATGCCGATAGGCACAGTATCTGTATCGGCTGGGAATGACAAGTTCACATTGTTATATTAGGAGAACACTGCTTCTATGGTATTATGTAAAGGGTTGTTTATTCTACATGGACCTGTTACTACATGTGAAAGCTATCAAAACACTTAGTTAAGAATATTGTTATGTCTGTAGTCTTATCACTAAACATAAACACGGGACAGCGTGATTCTTGTTGTAAGGGAGAACTTGATCTCAGCTTCAGACCGGGCAACAACACAAAAAGGTTGTGTGGGCAACAGTGCCCTCTTATGGGCAGTATGTATACAAACATACATTCAATACATAACATATCTACATTAAATCAGCAATTGCAGTCTTCTCATATTACTCTGTAGGCTGACCTATTGAGAGGGAGGGGGGGGCTGCGGGCAAGGTTCTGAAAGATTGGTGTCTTGGGGGTGGCAAGGACACACCCAAAGAACACCCACGTCAAACCACACCCCAACCCAACTCACGTTTGGCTTCTGTCACGGCCACCATCATTTCTTGAGGAGCAAGCCAAAACTAGGCCAAATCAGTGGGTACAGTTCCCCTTTAAAATGGTCAAAAACAAACAAAAATAGCTTCTTAGCAAAGAGCAATTTCAAGCAAGAATGTTGATAGGACTGTCTGGGAGTGGTCTGGGGGGAGGGGAACTTTTGTTCTATTAACTAATTTACTGCCTCGTGACGTCACCAGGCAGGCCAAAACTCCATCTCACCAAAACAGGCTGAAATTTCAGGTGGTCTTTACAAACAGCTCTTACACGAACAGTATTATTCCAACCTCAGTGTGGAAATATATATAAGACACAGGAAATCACATTTTTGACTGCACTGGGCCTTTAAACTCAAATGATTTCTCAGAAAGATGATTTGTCTAGACACAAACCAGATTAAAATATGACAAAAGCACACACAATCCATTAGGAATTTAAAATGTTCATTTAATATGCTGTATACACTGTCTTCCTTTGAAATGTTATTGAACATATCCCAATCTCCTTTGGTTGGAAAACGTAATTGGCAAAACAAATGAATTGGGTCATAAGACAGAACCATTTGAAATGTACACGTGAAGACAAATGTTGGTTTTTCATACAGCATAATTTGATTCAATTGTCCTCAATCGTACTAATAAAAAGTTATAGGTTATAACAGAGTAAATATAATACAATTTAAAGTATATACTTTTAAAGTCTGAATACTTGTAAGAAAAAGTTGTTGAATACAATAGAAAAATAAAATTGGTCACACTGTCCTTCATTGAAAGTAATCATTCTAAAATCACTAAGAGTGCACGAGGATGGCAGACTTAAATGAGGCTCCACTACAAGCAAATTCAATATGAATTCAGTAGCAAAGAACACATTCTTTTATCCAACGACAAGATATCATGTAATATGATGCAAAGACACTGTACAGCAATGGGAACTGTAATATTATACATGTAATCATGACAAGATGTCATGGTACTACCAGACAAGCCTGAAGGTCAAAGGTCCAATCAACAGTAACAATCAAGTTATGCCTATATCACATGTATAGAATCTCCCATAATTGCAATTTGACCATAAATGCACTTTACCACCACAAGAACTGTAATCTCTTTAAAGCACGACGGGAACAGCCATTTCAAAGTGCTTCAACATGGCTGTGTATAAAAGTATATTCCACTCTACTGAGGTGAGGTCTAAGACTGGGGTCTTAAGGCAGAAGCAGAGTTATGGCCTTCCTACATCATGTTCATCGCAGCATTGGCGGCTCAACAGAAGTACATGACAGTGTCTCACTGAAGAATACGTAACGACTATTGAGCAAAAGCAGCGGCGACCAAACATTTAATGTCATGATCACAAGGTTTTCACAAGAAACGTTTGAACAGCCAATGTGAATAACTTACAATGAAGGCTGTGTTGTGAGGAGGCCAGCCCTTAATTCTTCGATCTGAAGGAAATGCATTGAGATAGCAACATTAACAGCAACTCACAAACATTTTACAGGTGTAGCGTTACTTTAAGTTCAATTTAAGGTCATCTATGCAATTTATCTTCATTGAGGCTTGGATTGGGGGTAGGGTAAAATGAGATAAGTCTGCATGCATATCAGGGGCAACTTCTACATGTAGCCATTAGATTCAATCAGCTCCAGGAGAAGTTAAAGTTAAGAGGAAATGTTCCTCTTGAGTTTTTCAAGAACAATGCAAAATAGGGACGGTGAGCCTATGTGGATATTATTGACAAAATAAAAATACAGAACAAATAATATAGGAAAGTAGACTTGAATGTAGCTAAACGATTTCTATTTGGTAGGACATGGGGTTTACATTGCCCAAACTACTAAAACAAATAAATGGTGGTCCATGCATAGGAATATTAAACAATAACTTAAACCGTGACTTCTTGAGGGATACTACAAATCAGTCTTATTGACCAGTAAGAAAATGTGTGCACTTATTAGTCGTTAAATGTGAGAGAGGGAGCAAGCAAGAGAGAGAGACACACTCACACCTCTAACATTATCAAGGCCTTCTCAGAGGTCACTGAACTGGTCACAGAAGTGATAGATTCTTTAAAAAGTATGTTGAGCGCAAAGTTCTTGTCATCGGTTACTGCCAAGTACCTGGATCACACCAGACACCAAAACGGTTGTGTGCAGTATGTCACAACACTAACGACAGACTGGCATAGACACAGAAAGATTGGCCACTTAATGATTAAAAATCTTAATCAGAAGACACAGAACTGACACATTTGTTGCCAGCTTGCTGTGTCTTGTATGTTACTGAGTCTTACTATCTATCTAATATTTTTCATCACAACGTTGGCTTGGTCAGAAGTGATCGAGTCAGAAGGAGGAATGAGTTGGTCTTAGAGGCCTCTTAAAAGGGTCGAATAAGTGATGGCAATCCCTAGGAGCGGGCATGCTGATTGGCTACAAAGTGTCCCCTGGATTCAGATTGGCTAAGACAACACCCAGGGCATCACTGATGGGCTGCGAGAACTACGAGGCGACCCCCTGGCATCACTGATTGGCTGAGAGCAGGCCCTGTCTTTGAGCATGCTCCAGGATGGCGTTGTGGCAGAAGTAGTATTGGTCGGGGGTCTGGATCGTGAAGGCCCTCTGCGTTCTCATCCACCGCACCGTCTGACACACGTTGAGTGTCCCCACGTCCTGCAACTGGGACAGACAAATGTCCAGGGCACAGAAGGTACCTGGGGAGAGGAGAGGGAAGTGGGGAAGATGCAGGAATAACATTAGGTCACTATGGCCTTCATATATTATAGCCAAGGTGATAGCCATAGAAACAGAATCCCCATTATAGAAATAGGGGTGACACCTATGACTATCACATCATAGAGATTCTATTTAATTGTGTGCGTTACACGTTATTGAGGTGATCTGACCACATAGCTTCTTTTGGGGAATTAACTTCTTTGTTATAAGCATGTACGAGCCTTTATGATGTCTTATTAGCGCCCTGTGGTTTGTGCAATCGTGACATGCCTGGATTTTTTACCTTTATTTAAAGCTTTTTCATCAAACTGTCCCAGCAGATGGTCCAGCTGCATCCTCAGACAATTGCTTTCATTTTTGGTGTAATTCTCATTTCTGGATAAGGCTTAAAATACAGGATAAAATCTTGCTATGTCACATGATTGTGCAAAATACAGGGCCCTAATATAATATGTTTTATGTGTCTTTATTTGGGTCTCAAGGACTGGAGTAGAGTCTAAAGGAGTGGTGGTCATCAGTGAGAATGATTAGTTCACCTGTTCTGCCTATGCCCGCACTGCAGTGAACCACCATGGGGGGTCCCAGGGGGTGGCCGCTCCACTGGGGCCCCATGCCCTTCACCGCCTGCCTCTGCTGCCTCTTGACGGCCCCCAGGAAGTCGATGAGCGTCAAGGCCGAAGTGGGGACGCCGTAGTCGGGCCAGCTCAGGTATTGGAAGTGGGTCACCTGCCTCTGCTCACAATTCTGGTTGGGACGGGACAGACCATGATAATAGTGTTAAATTGTGGTGAACAATCACTGATATGCATTTGTTCTAACATGTTCAAACTTGTTGGAAGTTTTGATGTTAGCCAACATGAACACTAAGAACGTAGTGTTGTGCAGTGAAAATTGTTCCAGCTAAAGTGAACAACCATCCCTATGCAGCTAGCCTATGCTATAGCGAGATAATCTCCGATTTAGGAAAGCATGTGTTCTTCCTTGTGTAAAGGGAGCAGAGGGTCACTTTAGACCTCCAGCTAGCTACTGTACCTCCATGTTGTACAGCTCCAGGGTGGTCTGGTTGTAGTGGGAGTGGTTGTCCACTCTCTGGTTGACCACAGCCATGTGACCGTACACATCCTGGCCACCTTCCTCCAGAGGCCAGTACTGACCACACTTCTTCCGACCGCCCTCGTCCGTCCTGCAACACACAGATTGATTATCTCCTGGAGGGTTATGACGATTTTTCTACAATACAAGAAGTGCCCCATTGTAACATATATGGGTCTGGTTCACAACAGTCTCCACATATCAGCATTTCCAAATGTCAGTGAATCATTTAACAACAATCCTCTACTTCATGCCATGACTAAGACTTGATATAATTTCAACTCCCACTGGGTAAAAGAAAGCTGTAAGAAAAGTAACTACCTTGTTGTCATGACAACGACTAGCACATTTTGCTCCCAGACCATTCTCCAAAAATCACCATAGGTATTCTCCAGTGGTCCTATGGACAGTAGAGTAGAACAAAGGGAATTATCTGCTTGTTACAAGCCTTATAATAAGACATCAAAGCTCATACACACTTATAAAATGTTATGTTGATGTCTTTATGTATAAAATATTCAACCGACTCAAAATTGTTATTTAGGCGGGACCATCAGGGGGTCATACACAGTGTACAAAACATTATGAACACCTCTTTCCATGACAGACTGACCTGATGAATAGAGGAACGCTATGATCCCTTATTGATGTCACTTGTTAAATCCACTTCAATCAGTGTAGATGAAGGGGAGGAGACCGGTTAAAGAAGGATTTTTAAGCCTTGAGACAATTGAAACATGGATTGTGTATGTGTGCCATTCAGAGGGTGAATGGGAAAGACAAAATATTTAAGTGCCTTTGAACGGGGTATGATAGTAGGTGCCAGGCGCACCGGTTTGAGTGTGTCAAGAACTGCAACGGTGCTGGATTTTTCACGCTCAACAGTTTCCTGTGTGTATCAAGAACGGTCCACCACCCAAAGGACATCCAGACAACTTGACACAACTGTGGGAAGCTCAAGTCAACATGGGCCAGCATCCCTGTGGAATGCTTTCGACACCTTGTAGAGTCCATGCCCCTACAAATTGAAGCTGTTCTGAGGGCAAAAGGGGGGGTGCAAATCAATATTAGGAAGGTGTTCTTAATGTTTTGTACACTTAGTGTACATGCTTGTGACAAGTCTTTCAATGCATCAAACACATCATAATGCATTATACCTGTCGACTTTAGTGTTACCAAAATACCAATAGTTTGAGAACCAAAGGAACCTCTTACAAATGAATGAATATCCCATCAAAATGACTAGTACAAAAGTCTGATGATCAGTGCAAAAGTCTCTGATGGTGAAACTAGCAGGTGTAATATCATAGACGGCCATTGTTGTACCTTGAGTACCGATGTACGCATTCTTCTGTTTGTAGCCATCCATGAAGCTGGCGTTTATGTAGTCCGATCTCTGTGGGAACAAACAGGCCTTTGTCACAGCGACTGGGAGAATAGGGGTCCTATAACATCAGAGCTGTACAGTAGCAATCCCGATAACATTATAGAGCCTTGTTGTATGAATGGCAAATAAATTGAGTGAATAAAAAGAGGGAGCTATGAAGGCGGTTTTGAGCCGTTTATCAGAGGCCTTTGGTGAGCCTGCTGAGTGTAAAACTAGAGGCATTCTCTCACAAGCACATGAACCAAAGATGTCCTTCTACATTCTACTAGAGGCTGAAAGAGAGCGTTCACAAAGGATGGATAGTCTATTAAATACAAACGTACGGCAATATAGTGCAGTTCTTTTTTTTTTTGTCCTCAACAGCCTATTCAAGACTAATACAAAAAAATGATCATTCATATTTCAAGTTCTAGGAACCACATGTAATGCTTAGGCATATGTGCATTTACAAAGACTGTATGGAACCATATTATGCTGTTGTGAATGCTGACAGCAAGTCTTCTAATGCACATTGTGCTTGATAAAAGGCAATATATGCACAAGTGGTTCCTAGAAAGTGGTACTGATATCTCGTATGTTATGATACTGTACACTTTGTAACTGCATGATGACATTGTCATATGACTTTTGAGAAGTACACACCTCGTTTCTTCTTGTTTTCAGACTAACTCTTGTTTGGTCAAGACACAGGACATCCCCATAGCGATTCCTCTCCTGGTTGTATGCAGTACTGGTGAGATTTTGACAGACATACAATCAACCATTGGTAATTTAAGAATATCATGAACTAGTATCAAGTTACTGCTCCAAGGGACTGGTGCAAAGTTTTGCCACCCAGTTTGACGCTTTCCTTCTTTCCTTGGTAGTTTAATGGATAAACCCACATTCTCTCGTCATTAACCCAGTGAGGGCTCAGGGCCCGTATTCACAAAGGGGCAGAGTAGGATTGCTGGTATATGATCAGTTTAGCCTTTTAGATAATAAAGAAAAATATTATAAAATCGATAGGAAGGTTCTGATCCAAGAAAGCTCTGATCAGCTTCTACTCTGAGACGCTTTGTGAATACGGGACCAGAACTCTCTAGGCTTCTCCCTGCGCAGCTCAAAAGCCTGGAAATAGATCAACCCACAGCTAACCCTTTAAAAGTGATTCTGCTTATTTACTCACAGGGCACAGTGGAAGGTCCCTGGCGGTTGCTCCTTGCGGATTTCCTCATACTCCAGGTATATGCCAGAGCGCTGGAGCCTACCCAGGTGGGCCATGAGCTCCGGCAGGCACATGGCCTCCAGCCCGGGGGTGTGGACCGACGAGTCCTCCAGGGGGATGCCTACCAGCTCATCAACGGGGTCCACACGGCCGTTCTGCCCAGCCAGGAGCTGCTGGTTCCAGCCATGGGCGTCTAGGGGCAGCAGCCCACCCAGGTGCTCAGGGAGACAGTTCTGGGGGAGGTGTTGGCGGAGGTCGGACATTTTGACCATCTGGACCTGGGAGAGGAGAAGGTGGTAGGAGAGAGTGAGGGCTTCAACTTCCACTGTCAAGTGATAATATCAGATGTTAAGTCCTTGCTTAAGAAGAGAAGAAAACTCAATTAAAACTGGACCACATGTCAAAAGCACAGAATCCTTTTTAGGACATCCTGATTTGTAAGCTGTAGGTTTCAGTCTTGACTTCCAATTGAGGATGTCCTAAAGTGGATTCCATACATTAATAGGGGTTTAGGTTGATTTCATTCCCATTCAATGCATCACTGGGACAGTCAATGAATCAACGTCAAGGAATCAAACCGCGTGCTTTTCAATGATGCTCCCATGCCCTGTTCAATAAATGGATTCCGATCAATAAATGGATTCCGATCTGATATTGCATTATGGAGCCATTCTACAAATGTCACCTCATCAATGAATAATGTGATTGTGGTGATAACACCAAGCACTCACTCTCATGACCTCCTCCAGTTCATAAAAAGTCATAGTTAAACGAGATCATCAATGACTAACTCAAATCGTCTTTTCTAGTTCTGGTGAGGAAAATGTAAAATAACTCTCCTACTGCCTTCTTAACTAATCTGCTTTAAGAGACACATATCTATCAGAGGCACGTGAACGATCTGTTACATCTACTGTTTTTAGTGAAATCTACAGTGACTTGGCCTGCATCTAAAATGGCACCTCATTCCCTATGTAGTGCACTACTTTTGACCAGGGCCCATTGGGGTACAGTGTGGACCGAAATGATTGACACCCTTGATAAAGATGAGCAATAATGACTGTATAAAATAAATAATTATAATTCTGAGCTATATTGTATGCTCAAAATTATATTCTTAAAATTGCTCAGAAAGATTTTGTTTAACAAGTAATACATATTATATTCTTATTTACAATATAAGTGACTCCAAAATGACACAATACATTATTTACCATTCAAACTAATAATCTGAAACACAACCAAAGCGAACTGCAAATGCACCCAACAAGTTTGTAGTCACAAGCTTGATGTTGTCATTGCATACTAGGAATATGGGACCAAATACTTAACTTTTGACTACTTTATTTAAAAGAATCTTTAGGGGTGTTAATAATTTTGACCCCTACCTTTTTGAGAAAAAAGTATTAGTATTAAAGAATATAATTTCAAAAAATTTTGGAGCATATAATATAGCTCAGTATTTGAATTATTTATTTTATACAGTGATTATTGCTCATCTTTATCAAGGGTGTCAATCATTTTAGACCCCACTGAATGGGTATAGGATGCGATTTCGGACACAGCCGATGTGATTTATGATCCCAAACGTTAGCTTTCCCTGGGAGGAGTGAGTTCCTGAGTAGAGGTCACCGTGGAGATGCCTTGCACCCATCAATCATCTGACAGCTGATGAAGTGCCTTGTGTATCAATTACATTGATTTGGGCTCCCGAGTGGCGCAGTTGTCTAAGGCACTGCATCTCAGTGCTTGAGGCGTCACTACAGACCCCCTGGTTCGATTCCAGGCTGTATCACAACCGGACGTGATTGGGAGTCCCATAGGGCGGCGCACAATTGGGCCAGCGTCGTCATTGTAAATAAGAATTTGTTCTTAACTGACTTGCCTAGTTAAATAAAGGTAAAATAAAATAAAATAAAACATTGCAGGTGTGGGCGGCGGTTCACCTTCCAATGTCAGGTGTTATACACTGGAAGGGAGCACAACGATCATCCCCAGGTCCTTACATTGTTGAGATGTTCCCAAACTAGGACAGGGAGTGACAGGGGGTTACTGGTGCAATGTCAGAGAGATATAGGGGTCATGTTTGGCTCTACACTGTGAGGTGACATTACTACAGTCACATATTATTGACAGTTCTTTATAGTTGGAATTAGTGCTTGTTTTTGAAGACACAGTTCTACCCATAGTGAGGATAGTACCATTGCACTCACCCTCTCCCTGAGTTTCTCCTTAAGCAGCAGGCTCAGCAGGTTGTAGGGCACGCGGAACCAGACAGGGGCGCCCACTATCAACACCTTCTTCAGCCTGGCAGGGAAAGCCCCCTGGTGTAGAACAGAGCAGACCTGCAGTTTTGGAACACCGTTTCGCAATCCTGGCCTCTCATTCATAAACATGGAGTGTACATTTTTGTCATCAGTCAACATATTAGCCTGGCGAACAGATATTGATACAATACTAAAATATGCTGCCTCAGTCCTGTCTTACCTTGAGTAAGTTGAGAATCTTCTTGCTGAGGTCCAGCTCAAAGTTGGTGTAGTTGGAGCCCGCCATGTCATAAATGAACACCAGGCCGTTTCTTTGAGTTTCAAAGCTGGGGGGAGAGAGAGAAATAAAAAATATGTTGGTAACACTTATGAACATTAAATGGGTATTGCAAGAGGAAATGGTAGAATTATGATTTTTTGGGGAAGGATGGGTTGATCTGTGGCTGTCTGAAGGGTGGAATTGACGAGTGTTGGAACAATTACATACGCAAATGTTTTGCATTTCGCTATTTCTGTTTTGTGGTTTGGTTTCATGCTGTGAGCGGTGTGTGTTCTGGTCCTGGTAGTTATGGGTGCGCTCGCTTCCATGCCTTCCCGGGCGTAGGGCAGGACTTGGTTTTTCCCGCCCTTGGAAAATCCCTTTGGGCTGGGGGCGGGGCCTTGCCGGCATCTCGGGGCGAGCGCACCCACTGACCAGAGCACCCACTAATGGGAGCGGCCATTTGTATTGTCTGTGTATTGCATTGTTGTTTTAAGTAAATAAATAATAGTAAGAAAAAATCGTTAATAATAAAACTCCCTATGAATTCCCTCTTCATAATGCATTATAGGCATATTTATAATGCCTTATGTGCTATGCGTAATGCATTATAATGCATGACATAGGTGCTAATAGCTGCTCATCAATCGTGGAGTAACAAAGGATTCTAAAATCGCTCATCAGGTCATACAAATTACACACACTTTCACAACACACTGTCACAGTGCAATGCCAACATCCTGTCTCATATTTGGTCCAATTTGTCTGCTGTGTTGTAAAACTAAGCCTGCCTTTTATCCAATGGTCTTGATCAATTAAGACAATTGGTCATTTAGGTAATCTAAGACAATTGGGACAGAGACTGAGTCTCACCTACATAATTGATCAGAACACATAATAGGCTAATACTATAACATATGCATCCCTTTGTTCTCACCTCTCCACAGCCCGGTCCAGTAGGTAGAAGAGAGCCTGCAGGACAACATGGTTTCCTGTCTTGTTGGGGTGGTGGAGCTTGGCTGTGTACAAGGCTATGGAGGCGCCTGATGGGTCTCGCACACTCTGGCAGAACAGAACAGAGACAGGGGTCAGAGTTAGGAGAGATTAGGGTGTGCTTCTTAGCTGCACTGCACTGAAGTCCTGATTCAAATACGATTCTATACAGCACCTGTGGGTGAGAAAAACAAGCAATAGTGCATCACAAATCAAGTCATTTAAACGTAGAAACGTGTTAAAAAGTGACTGCAAGTTTATCATTTGTTATACATTTCGATTTTTCTCTGTTGGCATAGTTGTAAGTGGTATTCTGATAGCGGTGCATACAGTTTACAGTAGGGCTGGGAATTGCAAGTGACCTCACGATACGATATTATCGCGATACTTAAGTGCCGATACGATATGCATTGAGATTCTCCCGATTCTATATGTATTGCAACTCGATACTGTGATTTATATTGAGTTACGATGTTCCAAACATATTGCTCACCATATGTCTGCTGCAGAGGGACAACAGAGAGCCATGAGAAAACGAGTTTTGATCAGTCATGGAAATAAAAGTGCTAAAAATAAAAGAAGATGGAGAAAAAGCTATGAATGAAAAATACTGGCATTTTGGTGCAGGTATAGCCAGCTAGCGCAAAAATAATATCCCGATGTGTAACTATAGATTTTTCCCCCCCATCACTAGTTTACAGTAGAGCTGCACACAGAAGTTTGACGCAAAACTCTAGTCTAGACTCTAGACTAGTTGCACACTGAATCCAACATGCAATCATCAAATACATGGGACGTCATGGCAGCCTGCAGGTCAAAATATCTCAAATGGGGTCTCCTGGTGTTCAGGTTGACCACAGGGTGGCAAAGTGGACATGACCATGAGAAGCAATGAGAGCTTTGGCCACAGGGAGGCGCCTGGGTTCAGAGTCAGTAGATTTAAAATGGGCGCCGCATCACATCTCTGAAGGAGTGACTTGTGTGAAACAAACTATCAGTAAGAATGCAACATCTCACTAAAGAGGCAACAATTGTGAAAACCAGGGCCCCATTCAATTAAATTAAAACAGGCCACCAGGTTACTGGATTATCAATGAAAGGACATTCTCCACATTTAACACTCACCCCAGCATCCAAAAAGCAGATTGAGTGACTTATTTTGACTTGGCAAATAACTAGGCAATAATAAAAGGCAATAATTCACAGATCAAGGCCCGCATTCGTAAAGTGTCTTAGAGTGGGAGTGCTGAATTAATTAAGTTTGGCCTTTTAGATCATAATGAATAAGATTACATGGACAGGGGGGCCCTGATTCTAGATCAGCACTCCTACTCTGAGATGCTTTATGAATACGGGCCCAGGTCCCCCATGTCCATATCCTTTAATTTATTATGATCTAAAAGGCTAAACTGATCCTATATCAGCACTTTTACACTGAGATGCTTTATGAATACGGGCCCTCCTACTGTTATTTGAGGGCAAAATAGCCCTCAAATAATGGGGAGGGAATAGAGGGATTGGTGATAATCAGCTGTCATAGCTCTACCACTGCGGAGGGAGGGACCCTTCACTACCACACCAGTCCCAGACAAAGTACATGGAAAGACCCTGAATTCTAAAGACTACCAACCAACCACAGAATATTCTGATATCTTACACCCTTGCTGAAACTCTACCCAGTTTAACATTATCATTCACAATTCTGAATTACTATAAAATACCATCTCGAATTCAACGTCCAATCCAATTTCTGATACAGGTATTATAAATAGGACAGAGGTAGGCAACTAGATTCAGCCGCAGGTTGATGGTCGGGGGGCCGGAACATAATTATAATAATTTTGAACACTGCAAATTGACCACTATGCCTAAAAATAGATTGTATTTTAAAATAATAATTTCATACCTTGATTACCTTGAGACACGATCATATGTATTTCTTCTATTTGTGGGAATACTTGGGAATAGATTTCCTAAATTAACAAATGTTTTGCTGAATTCCTGGTGATGACAGTTTTTTAATTGTATTTTTTAATCTAAAATTCCACCACCTCCCATAAAACATGTTTATTTTACTAAAACCTTTGGGGGGGTCCGGTTTTGGCTCGCGAGCCACCTGTTGCCGACCCCTGTAATGGGATATGAACCCAAAACGCATAACCAATCTCCACCACAGTCTACAACCCCCACACACACCCACCTACTTTAACTACTACAGCAGAAAGCAGCCTAGTCAGCACGGCTCATACAGCTCCATAAATCTCATAACGCCGTAAAAGAAAAAAAAAAAAAGACGGTCCAAGAGCATTTCCTCCGCTGTCCCCCCCATTTTGACACAGAGTGAAATGAAGAGATAGTTAAGATGGTTGTTGTAGGCCTAATGCCACAGAGGGTTGCCAAAAGCAGCCATACGCTCTTGCACACACAAAACACACAAACACAATACACACACCCTATTAAAAACTCACCAGCACAGTGAACTTCCCACTGAGCAGTTCCGAGCGCAGAGGTTCCTCCTGAGGCTGTAGTTTGACGATGCCCTCTTTCAGACGTGTCTCCTGGACACATGTGAAAAGAAGAGTTAAGGGAACATCAGGCCTGTGAAGTCTACAGGCTTTTGTTCCAGTCCAGCACTAACACACTTGATTCAAATGATCCAAATCCACCTAAACAGTCTTCAATGTAGGCCACTACTATCAGTTGAATCAGGTGTGGTAGTGAAGGACCACATTTCCCCATCCCAGACCTAGTGTGTCTCAGAACTTTTCAGTGATTGGCCTTTCCTTCATCTGCATTGGATTTGATTAACGACTGGAAGGATGAAGGTAATATATGGATGAGTCCTACCAGCAAGTGTGCTGTTACCCGTCATGTGATTTAAGGGAAGTTAAGATGAAAGGAAGGAGAAAAGGAAAGGAAACCATTTGAGGAGTTTTTCAGGATGTAACGTATTGCAGAGATACCGTGATAGCCAAGCAGATAAGCTATAAATACCTGTGGGAAGCTGTGAATTGAACATTGTAGGCTACACTACAGTACTGTATATTTACAAAGAACTACCTGTCCAAGTGACTAGAAAGCCTTTACCTTGATCCGCATGGAGCAGAGCTTAAACGGACTACCATGGCAAACAATTGGATACCCATGGGCCCAAGGACAATTACTTATTACATAACATGCTTAAAATGTATACATTGAACAAAAACACACTACATGACCAAATGTATGTGGAAACCTGCTCGTCGAACACCTCATTCCAAAATCATGGGCATTAATATGGAGTTGTCCCCCTTTGCTGCTATAACAGCCTAACAGCCTCCACTAGATGTTTCCACTAGATGTTGGAACATTGCTGCGGGGACTTGCTTCCATTCAGCCACAAGAGCATTAGTTAGGTCGGGCACTGCTGTTGGGCGATTAGGCCTGGCTCACAGTCGGTGTTCCAATTCATCCCAAAGTCGTTAGATGGGGTTGAGGTCTGTGCAGGCCAGTCAAGTTCTTCCACACCGATCTCGACAAACCATTTCTGTATGGACCGGTTTGTGCACGGGGGCATTGTCATGCTGATACAGGAAAGGGCCTTCCCCAAACTGTTGCCACAAAGTTGGAAGCACAGAATCATCTAGAATGTCATTGTATGCTGTAGTGTTAAGATGTCCCTTTACTGGAACTAAGGGGTCTAGCCCGAACCATGAAAAACAGCCCCAGACCATTATTCCTCATCCACAAAACTTTACAGTTGGCACTTTGCATTCGGGCAGGTAGCGTTCTCCTGGCATGCGCCAAACCCAGATTTGTCCGTCGGACTGCCAGATGGTGAAGCATGATTAATCACAACAGAGAATGTGTTTCCACTGGTCCAGAGTCCAACGTCGGCGAGCTTTACACCACTCCAGCTGACGCTTGGCATTGCGCATGGTGATTTTAGACTTGTGTGCAGCTGCTCGGCCATGGAAACCCATTTCATGAAGCTCCCGACGAACAGTTATTGTGCTGACATTGCTTCCAGAGGCAGTTTCAAATGAAATCAAATTGTATTTGCCACATGCGCCGAATACAACAGGTGTAGACATTACAGTGAAATGCTTACTTACAAGCCCTTAACCAACAATCCTTTATTTTTATTTTTATAAAAAAAAGTGTTCAGTAAAGAAATAAAAGCAAATAACTAAAGAGCAGCAGTAAAATAAAATAACAGTAGGGAGGCTATATACGGGGGGGGGGGGGGGGGGGGGTACCGGTACAGAGTCAATGTGCGGGGGCACCGGCTAGTCGAGGTACTTGAGGTAATATCTACATGTGGGTAGAGTTAAAGTGACTATGCATAAATAATAAACAGAGTAACAGCAGCGTAAAAAAGAGGGGGATGGGGTGGGGGTGGGGGGGCAGTGCAAACAGTCCAGGTAGCCATGATTAGCTGTTCAGGAGTCTTATGGCTTGGGGGTAGAAGCTGTTGAGAAGCCTTTTGGACCAAGACTTGGCACTCCGTTACTGCTTGCCGTGCGGTAGCAGAGAGAACAGTCTATGACTAGGGTGGCTGGAGTCTGACAATTTTGAGGGCCTTCCTCTGACACCGCCTGGTATAGATGTCCTGGATGGCAGGAAGCTTAGCCCCAGTGATGTACTGGGCCGTACGCACTACCCTCTGTAGTGCCTTGTGGTCGGAGGCCGAGAAGTTGCCATACCAGGCGGTGATGCAACCAGTCAGGATGCTCTCGATGGTGCAGCTGTAGTACTTTTTGAAGATCTGAGGACCCATGCTAAATCTTTTCTCAAACAGACTCTTTGCCTGTTTGATGGTTCGTCGGAGGGCATAGCGGGATTTCTTATAAACGTCTGGGTTAGAGTCCCGCTCCTTGAAAGCGGCAGAGCCCTTTAGCTCAGTGCGGATGTTGCCTGTAATCCATGGCTTCTGGTTGGGGTATGTACGTACAGTCACTGTGGGGACGACGTCATCGATGCACTTATTGATGAAGCCAGTGACTGATGTGGTATACTCCTCAATGCTATCTGAAGAATCCCGGAACATATTCCAGTCTGTGCTAGCAAAACAGTCCTGTAGCTTAGCATCTGCGTCATCTGACCACTTCTTTATTAACCGAGTCACTGATGCTTCCTGCTTTAGTTTTTGCTTATAAGCAGGAATCAGGAGGATAGAGTTATGGTCAGATTTGCCAAATGGAGAGCAAGGGAGAGCTTTGTATGCGTCTCTGTGTGTGGAGTAAAGGTGGTCTAGAGTTTTTTTTTTCCCTCTGGTTGCACATTTAACATGCTGGTAGAAATTAGTGCATTAAAGTCCCCGCCACTAGGAGCGCTGCCTCTGGATGAGCGTTTTCCTGTTTACTTATACAGTTCATTGAGTGCAATCTTAATGCCAGCATCGGTTTGTGGTGGTAGATAGACAGCTACGAAAAATATAGATGAAAAGTCTCTTGGTAAAAAGTGTGGTCTACAGCTTATGATGAAATACTCTACCTCAGGCGAGCAAAAACCTTGAGACGTCCTTAGTATTAGATTTTATGCACGAGCTGTTGTTTACAAATATACAGACAGCCACCCCTTGTCTTACCGGAGTCAGCCGTTCTATCCTGCCGATGTAGCGTATATCCCGCCAGCTGTATGTTGTCCATGTCGTCGTTCAGCCACGACTCAGTGAAACATAAGATATTACAGTTTTTAATGTCCCGTTGGTAGGATAACCTTAAATAATAGGTCGTCCAATTTGTTTTCAAATGATTGGCTAATAGGATTGATGGAAGAGGCAGTTTACTCGCTCTCCGTCGGATCCTTACAAGGCACCCCGACCTATGTCCACGATATGTCCGTCTCTTTCTCATGCAAATGACGGGGATTTGGGCCTTGTTGGGTGTCTGTAGGATATCCTTCGCGTCTGACTCGTTGAAGAAAAAAATCTTCGTCCAATACGAGGTGAGTAATCGCTGTCCTGATATCCAGAAGCTCTTTTTGGTCAAAAGAGATGGTGGCAGAAACATTATGTACAGAATAAATTACAAATAACGCAAAAAAAAACACATAATAGTACAATTGGTTAGAGGGCTGTAAAATGGCAGCCATATTCTCCAGTGCCACTTAAAAATTAAATAAAAATACCTTGGACCTCGGTAGTGAGCATTGCAACCGAGGACAGACGATTTTTACTCGATACGCGCTTCAGCACTCACGGGTTCTGTTCTGTGAGCTTGTGTGGCAGCACTCAGGGGCGCAACTTTGATTTTAGAAGTGGGGGGGGGGCATAACATATATATTTTTTGATCCAGACGGATAAACACTCCAAAACAGCCTACCCGACCGCTCTGAGACATCAGCATGGTCCTAAAGCACACCGTTGCCTCGTTTTGTATCACATTCCAATGATAAAACTTGGGGGGACAAAAATGTAATTTCAGAATGTGGGGGGGACATGTTCCCCCACTGTCCCCAGTGAAAGTTGCGCCCCTGACAGCTGACCTGGGAAGCTCTAGCAGGGCAGACATTTCACAAACTGACTTGTTGGAAATGTGGCATCCTATGACGGTGCCACGATGAAAGTCACTGAGCTCTTCATTAAGGCCATTCTACTGCCAATGTTTGTTTATGGAGATTGCATGGCTGTGTGCTCGATTGTATACACCCGTCAGCAACGGAAATAGCCAAATCCACTAATTTGACAGGGTGTCCACATATATATATATATAAATACATATGTGTATAAACATAACATGTAAAGTGTTGGTCCCATGTTTCATGAGCTGAAATAAAAAGATCCATATGCACAAAAAGCTTTTTCTCTCAAATTTGGTGCACCAATTTGTTTATATCCCTGTTAGTGAACATTTCTCCTTTGCCAAGATAAGGGAGGAAGAGGAGGCTTTTCCCCCTCAACATTGAGGAAAAAATAATATATAAAAACAATCCTCCTAAAAAGTTTATTTAAAAATAAATTTCAACCATCTTTCTCCCTAACTTTACAAGTTACCAGCCACCACTGGCATGCACACGCACGCACGCACACATACACACACTTACCCTGTAGCTGTGGAAGAGCTCAATGGCTCGGAGCACATCGAACTTGCGCGCCATGAGGAACTTGACGGCCACTTCCCAGGACAGCGGGGTCACTCCATGCTGAGTGGTCCACTTGTTGATTTCCTCCAGAAACTGTTTGGTAGCCTAAAAACACACACACAGATGTGATCACACACCTTGACTGTGACCCAAATGGCACCCTATTCCCTAGCACACTGATTTTGAATGGCATCCTTTTCCATATATAGTGCACTTCTTTTGACCAGAGTCCTATGGGACTTGGTCAAAAGTAGTGCACTATATAGGGAATATGGTGCCATTTGGGATACAACCTCCACAGAGATAATAAAAAAGACTAGAAGAAGTGAAAGAAGAAGTTCAACATGATACATCCTATGAGGAAGTGGTGTATGGTGTCCGTATGGCCTTTACCATGAGAGAGGATTTCATTTCATAAAGAGGTAGTACTATGTAGGTTTGTTGTGGAAAGGGTGTTGGAAGGTGGAGAGGTGACAACATGGCTGCAGGTAGCTTAGTGGGTAAGAGCGTTGTGCCAGTAACCGAAAGGTCGCTGGTTCTAATCCCCGAGCCGACTAGGTTAAAAATCTGTCGATGTGCCCTTGAGCAAGGCACTTAACCCTAATTGCTCCTGTAAGTCGCTCTGGATAAGAGCGTCTGCTAAATGACTAAAATGTAAATGTAAATGTAATGAAAAAAGTATGATACCAACAGAAACGGAGGTTCTAATTCCACATTTCTGTACTTCCAAGGCTTTTGTTAGCTGGGACTAGCAGTTGAGTAAAAAGTGCTGGGCTATTAATCTAATCAGAACAACTTGGATTCCATAAGGCCTGCCTCTATCAAACCTGCCATAAGAAATACACTGAGCTTGTATGCAGAAAACAGACTTGCAGTCCTCCAATCTTGAATAGCTATGGTTAAATTATTGAGATCCAAGATTGCACCATCAGCATCAGTTTCAAGAAATTGTGTGCGTTCTTTAAGGAATGGAGTCTTAAAACAAAAATGGAGGAGCATTTCTGTCTGTAATAATGCACTTTTGTGGGGAAAAACAAATTCTGATTGGCTGGGCCTGGCTCCCCAGTGGGTGGATTAGGGCCTAATGAATATATTTCAATTGACTGATTTCCTTATATGAACTGTAACTCAGGTAAAAACTTTGAAATTAATGCATGTTGCGTTTATATATTTTTGTTCAGTATACAGTGAGGGAAAAAAGTATTTGATCCCCTGCTGATTTTGTACGTTTGCCCACTGACAAAGAAATGATCAGTCTATAATTTTAATGGTAGGTTTATTTGAACAGTGAGAGACAGAATAACAAAAAAATCCAGAAAAACGCATGTCAAAAATGTTATAAATTGATTTGCATTTTAATGAGGGAAATAAGTATTTGACCCCCTCTCAATCAGAAAGATTTCTGGCTCCCAGGTGTCTTTTATACAGGTAACGAGCTGAGATTAGGAGCACACTCTTAAAGTGAGTGCTCCTAATCTCAGCTTGTTACCTGTATAAAAGACACCTGTCCACAGAAGCAATCAATCAGATTCCAAACTCTACACCATGGCCAATACCAAAGAGTTCTCCAAGAATGTCAGGGACAAGATTGTAGACCTACACAAGGCTGGAATGGGCTACAAGACCATCGCCAAGCAGTTTGGTGAGAAGGTGACAACAGTTGATGCGATTATTCGAAAATGGAAGAAACACAAAATAACTGTCAATCTCCCTCGGCCTGGGGCTCCATGCAAGATCTCACCTCGTGGAGTTGCAATGATCATGAAAACGGTGAGGAATCAGCCCAGAACTACACGGGAGGATCTTGTCAATGATCTCAAGGCAGCTGGGCCCATAGTCACCAAGAAAACAATTGGTAACACACTATGCCGTGAAGGACTGAAATCCTGCAGCGCCCGCAAGGTCCCCCTGCTCAAGAAAGCACATATACATGCCCGTCTGAAGTTTGCCAATGAACATCGGAATGATTCAGAGGAGAACTGGGTGAAAGTGTTGTGGTCAGATGAGACCAAAATGGAGCTCTTTGGCATCAACTCAACTCGCCGTGTTTGGAGGAGGAGGAATGCTGCCTATGACCCCAAGAACACCATCCCCACCGTCAAACATGGAGGTGGAAACATTATGCTTTGGGGGTGTTTTTCTGCTAAGGGGACAGGACAACTTCACCGCATCAAAGAGACGATGGACGGCGCCATGTACCGTCAAATCTTGGGTGAGAACCTCCTTCCCTCAGCCAGGGCATTGAAAATGGGTCGTGGATGGGTATTCCAGCATGACAATGACCCCAAACACACAGCCAAGGCAACAAGGGAGTGGCTCAAGAAGAAGCACATTAAGGTCCTGGAGTGGCCTAGCCAGTCTCCAGACCTTAATCCCATAGAAAATCTGTGGAGGGAGCTGAAGGTTCGAGTTGCCAAACGTCAGCCTCGAAACCTTAATGACTTGGAGAAGATCTGCAAAGAGGAGTGGAACAAAATCCCTCCTGAGATGTGTGCAAACCTGGTGGCCAACTACAAGAAACGTCTGACCTCTGTGATTGCCAACAAGGGTTTTGCACCAAGTATTAAGTCATGTTTTGCAGAGGGGTCAAATACTTATTTGCCTTATTAAAATGCAAATCAATTAATAACATTTTTGACATGCGTTTTTCTGGATTATTTGTTGTTATTCTGTCTCTCACTGTTCAAATAAACCTACCATTAAAATTATAGACTGATCATGTCTTTGTCAGTGGGCAAGCATACAGTGGGGAAGAAAAGTATTTAGTCAGCCACCAATTGTGCAGGTTCTCCCACTTAAAAAGATGAGAGAGGCCTGTAATTTTCATCATAGGTACACGTCAACTATGACAGACAAATTGAGCATTTTTTTTCCAGAAAATCACAGTGTAGGATTTTTAATGAATTTATTTGCAAATTATGGTGGAAAATAAGTATTTGGTCACCTACAAACAAGCAAGATTTCTGGCCCTCACAGACCTGTAACTTCTTCTTTAAGAGGCTCCTCTGTCCTCCACTCGTTACCTGTATTAATGGCACCTGTTTGAACTTGTTATCAGTATAAAAGACACCTGTCCACAACCTCAAACAGTCACACTCCAAACTCCACTATGGCCAAGACCAAAGAGCTGTCAAAGGACACCAGAAACAAAATTGTAGACCTGCACCAGGCTGGGAAGACTGAATCTGCAATAGTTAAGCAGCTTGGTTTGAAGAAATCAACTGTGGGAGCAATTACTAGGAAATGGAAGACATACAAGACCACTGATAATCTCCCTCTATCTGGGGCTCCACGCAAGATCTCACCCCGTGGGGTCAAAATGATCACAAGAACGGTGAGCAAAAATCCCAGAACCACACGGGGGGACCTAGTGAATGACCTGCAGAGAGCTGGGACCAAAGTAACAAAGCCTACCATCAGTAACACACTACGCCGCCAGGGACTCAAATCCTGCAGTGCCAGACGTGTCCCCCTGCTTAAGCCAGTACATGTCCAGGCCCGTCTGAAGTTTGCTAGAGTGCATTTGGATGATCCAGAAGAGGATTGGGAGAATGTCATATGGTCAGATGAAACCAAAATAGAACTGTTTGGTAAGAACTCAACTCGTCGTGTTTGGAGGACAAAGAATGCTGAGTTGCATCCAAAGAACACCATACCTACTGTGAAGCATGGGGGTGGAAACATCATGCTTTGGGGCTGTTTTTCTGCAAAGGGACCAGGACGACTGATCGGTGTAAAGGAAAGAATGAATGGGGCCATGTATCGTGAGATTTTGAGTGAAAACCTCCTTCCATCAGCAAGGGCATTGAAGATGAAACGTGGCTGGGTCTTTCAGCATGACAATGATCCCAAACACACCGCCCGGGCAACGAAGGAGTGGCTTCGTAAGAAGCATTTCAAGGTCCTGGAGTGGCCTAGCCAGTCTCCAGATCTCAACCCCATAGAAAATCTTTGGAGGGAGTTGAAAGTCCGTGTTGCCCAGCGACAGCCCCAAAACATCACTGCTCTAGAGGAGATCTGCATGGAGGAATGGGCCAAAATACCAGCAACAGTGTGTGAAAACCTTGTGAAGACTTACAGAAAACGTTTGACCATTGTCTTTGCCAACAAAGGGTATATAACAAAGTATTGAGAAACTTTTGTTATTGACCAAATACTTATTTTCCACCATAATTTGCAAATAAATTCATTAAAAATCCTACAATGTGATTTTCTGGAAAAAAAATTCTCATTTTGTCTGTCGTAGTTGACGTGTACCTATGATGAAAATTACAGGCCTCTCATCTTTTTAAGTGGGAGAACTTGCACAATTGGTGGCTGACTAAATACTTTTTTCCCCCACTGTACAAAATTAGCAGGGGATCACATACTTTTTTCCCCTCACTGTAGATTTCATGCACACCCATGTGCACACACACTTTACACAAAAGACAGACCGACACACCCCTTGGCCACTAGGAAGGTTAAGCAAAATTAACTTTAGATAAGTGATTACGGCAGCATCATTTTAGATGAACACTGCCTGGGACAATACGTTTTTTCTCTTGTGGATTTATCCCCAATCAATTATATAACTATGTACACAAAATTCAATTTTAGCACTCTGCTCAGTTACCTATGCATTCTTTATGAACTACAAGGTTGAGTACAGATCAACAAAAATGTTTTTCAATGAGTAAAAAGAAATGTGCATACAGTAGGTCATGTTTTATAGAAGAATGCTATGAAAAATAAACAACATTACCTAGGTGCTAGATTTCAATATTGAGTTATTTCAGAATTACATCACTATATCTGATAGCTGGGAGGTGATAGGAGACGACCGTCGAGGTGGACCATTAATTTCCTGTCTCTCATATCAAGCCATCTTTCACTCTAGACACCAGGTCTGAAGGAGTTCATTCAAAGCTTCTTCAAACTTCCCCATTATATCCATTCAATATAATAACTAAATATTTAACCAACACATTTGAACAAAAAATAGTTTCATAACACTATCAGTATTGAAACCTACAGTAGTGTGAAAAGGAACTAGTGAACCCCCAGCTATATTATGTTTCAGCTAGCAAAGAGACCAATCTAAGCGTGCACACAGTCTATGTCCA